AGTGTTTCTTGTGAAAAGAAATATAGTTCAATTTTGTTCTGAGGAAAAACCTACTAGAACCGTACTTTTACCCGAATGTTGTACTATTACTATTCTTTGGTAAAATATATGCGACTTTCCACATCTTTTTCACCCATGTGTCTCCTTGGACTTTGAGAGCGATTTTTTTGTTCTTGACTTTAAAATCATCTTTCTATTACTATTTAATAATAATAATAATAATAATAATAATGATAGGTATAATAATGATTAAACTTCATTGTTTTATTCGATCATTCCTGTACTGCGTTTATACTGAGACAAAAATCTGACTTAGTAATGCTTGTCTGTGTGTAGTTGATTTCTTTCTCAGGAGGTTGGACCATCCTCACATTGTGAAGTTCTACGGTACATCTCTCCTCTAAAAAGATGGCGAAGAAAGACCAGTAATGGTGCTGAAAAAGTGCAAGGAAAACTTGAGGACCCGCATCTTCAATAATCGAGCCTTGGTTCCCGCAGAAACAAAAGATATTGCAGGTATTAAAACAGTTAAACGTAGAAATTGAATCACTTCATGGGTAATAGGAAATCATTGACAATGCAGGATGCAGGAGGGGAGAGAGATTTTCTGTTCGGGATGAACATAAATCATCATTGTTGGTTTTAACGTTTTATTAATGGATTTCAGCAACTCATTGCTCGCTATAGCCGCTTAATGTAATGATATAGCTGGAGCGTGAATGTCACTCAATAACACTAGTTAATCCTGCTTCAAACCAAAAAACTTATTTAAAATAGGATCGTCCTTCAATACTCTTGTTCCAAGCAGAATGACTAAAAATTTAAGACCGATATTTTAGTAGATACATTGCAGTGAATTATGAACTTTATTCCAGGACTCCCTACGAAGTCTAGCTACAGGGGTTCCTTGCTGCATTGGCTCTGATGCCCTTTCGCCCTATCATGAGTTAATTTCAGTCGTATTGCAGTATACGGACTATTTCTTAGATATAACACGTTTATGATTCATTCTTTGTACAGTCAAAGACGTTGCACCGATCGATGACGGCAAGTTAGACTCATTTGATTTACTAAGGGATAATACACCTTATTTTATCATTAAAATATAATAGGTGCGGATATTTTGTGAGCTGCGCTGTATTTTTTCCGAGCCCCGAAGGCATGAGTGAAAGACGGAAACAACACAAACGAAACCATGACCAACGATAACATCTGTAGATATGAAAGTGATCTTCGCATTTCACAGTTTATATAGTTCACATAGTTTGCATTTCATTTATGAGTTTCATGTATTCACAGTCAAATAACATCTGCTGCACTGAAAAGTTATTTTCCTAAGAAGACGAGCTTAAAAAAACGGAGAAAAAATATCAAAGTTTGATCATTCACAGGAGCCATTTTTTTGCCCCGCTCTCCGGCCGTATTTTTGGCCTGATCTATTGAGTTATTCTTTGGCATATTTTGACCGTCCCGATGCCCTCAAAAGGCAACATGGTGTCATAGTGAAATAAAAAAAAAATTGTGTAGCTTCTCTTCAATCAATTCGAGAAACGGTTGCCGAGTAAGAAATAAATTTACCTTTGGGAACTATCTGTAATCCACGCCGTTTACGAACTACCATTAAAAAACACGATTAGTGTACACTGGAGCTCGTTAGAAGCTTTGAGTAAAATTTGGTTACATCCCTGATTTCAGAGACCTCCTCCTCCTAAATTAAATGCAGTCGAACGAATACTAAGATATAAAGCGATTGTTCTTTTCAGTCTCCTCTACGTTACTTCTTTTCTTTTAATTCAAAGTGAACACTCTCCGCCTCTACTTTTTTGTAGTAAGAAACAGACACTCCACCTTGCTTATTTGGTCTTCTAGCTGGCTTAGGTTTTGTTGAAGGAGGCGTTTTGCTTTGTGAAAGTGGCCTCGAACGTGATCTCGGTAGCGGTACTGGTTTCCGTTTGGGTCGAATCTCAGCCTCCTGCAACTCCTTAAAACTTTCCAGTGCTTTTTTTGCTGTCAGCCTGACACGTGGCTCTTCATTCCAGCAATTAGTCATGACATGCTTCCATATTTCCCATGGATGATTGGTGCCTTCGATGTGAGCAGGTCGACAGCCCTGTCTCATCTTTTCGAGCTGATACACTCCGCAGGTTGTCATCGCTGTTTGAAAGGCTTGCTCACCATACCATATTTCCCAAAGTACAAAGCCAAAACTATACATGTCAGCTTTGCTGTTGTAGATTCGACCCTCAAACACTTCAGGGGCCAGGTACAGAGAGGTGCCGACCATCGTACCTGTTATTTCTTTTTCATGTTTAGCTACTCCTACATCTGCAAGTTTCACTTTCTCGCCTTGTGTCAGCTATAATGAAAAAATTGAAACTCGTTCACAAAGAATCGTAGTGAACAAGAGAAACTGTAAATGGCTAATGTCATGTTGGTGCTTTTTTGGTTGATTGCAAGATCGCGTTTCATCGTAATGAACACCGGGTACCGCGATAAAGGTAAACACTCCTTGTTAATCATTGTCAACCAAAAATGTCTGCCATTGATTTAAAATAAAGCTGCAGAATTTTTTCTGCATGAGATGCAATCTTCTGCTTGAGATCTCACGCAAAATACCATGGAAACGGGTGGTTGATTTCCATTATATAAAGCATACAATTTTCAT